AGGACAGACAGTGCCTAAGGAATGACAGCAAAGGCAGACGACCTCTGACCTGCATATCTATGCACACAAGTGGGCACATGTACTCTGACACACATGCACCTGTACATAGGACAGACAGTGCCTAAGGAATGACAGCAAAGGCAGATGACCTCTGACCTACACACACGGGCACATGTACTCTGACACACATGCACCTGTACATACACACACAGAGGGGGTGGTGGAGAAGACAACAGAGTTGCCCATCAGGGGAACGGCCCCTCTTCCATCTCATCAGGTTGTAGAAGATGGATCTGCCAAGCTCTGTTGCTCTGGGTAAACTGTACTGAGGGTACTCACAAAACAGGTTGCTTCTGTCACTCAAACTGGTAGCTTTGTGGCCTTGGAGAACTCAGTCTCTCTGTGCCTTGGTTGGCCCATTCACGAAAGGGAATGCTGGTCGTGCTTTTTAGGACCGCAGTGAGGGTTACGTGCGCGGGCATAAAGTACCCTGTGCAGCACACAGTCCACACACGATACAGGTTCAAATGCATTCACAGGAAGGTTGCCAGGGCCAAATCAAGAGCGAAGATAACAGGGTAAATGTCAACCAGTGTCTTACTGTACGATGTCTTTTTTTGGGGGGGGGGTTTCGAGACAGGGTTTCTCTGTGGCTTTGGAGGCTGTCCTGGAACTCGCTCTGTAGACCAGGCTGGCCTCGAACTCACAGAGATCCGCCTGCCTCTGCCTCCCTAGTGCTGGGATTAAAGGCGTGGGCCACCAACGCCCGGCTTCTGTGAGATGTCTTGAAATGACCATACTACTGGTGCCGGTGGCAGGTGCTGAACGTATTCAAGGGTCAGTGAGGTCATAGACATGTGCTCCACACAGGCAATGGACCAGGAATAAATGATGCTTCATGGTACTCTCAGCAGGCACTCGACACCCACAAGGCAGGTGTGACAAGCCACCTCTCCTCCGATGTCCACACTCTCCTCCTGAAGAACCTGTGACATCCTGAGCACTCCGGTAGGCACCCTGGGTGACATCTTTCCCAACTCTCACCAAGGACTTGCTCCAGGGTGAGCACAGGAGGATCTTGTTAGCGGTGGATCGTGCCTTTAGTCCCAGCAGCCGGGAGGCAGAGACGTGGGGGGGCGGGTGGGGGTGGGGGGGTGGGGGGGTGGGGGGGAATCTCTGTGAGTTCAAGACCAGCTTGATCTACAAAGTGAGTTCCAGGGACAGACAGAACCATTTCACAACAGAAAAACCCTGTCTCAAAACACAAACAAGTAAACAAACAGAAAAAGAATGACACACTGGGGAAAGGGAGATGCGGGAACTGGTGGAACGAAGGTCTTTGTCATCATCATCCCCCACCCCCTCCCCCCAGCCAGGGATTCCTGGCTATGTGGGCGTGTCCTGCGGAAGAAGCCTGATGCTGTCAGTCAACTGGATTCTTGCCTTTCTATTCCCTGGCTGGATGGCCTTGGACAAGTCACCTGGCCTCTCTGAGTCTGGTCTCCTTACTTACACAATGCTGGAATACTGGCTCTTTGTCGAAGGCTCTGAGGTCCCTTCCGGGACCAGCAGTTTTTGTGCAATTCCAGTGCCGTGGGGAAAGGAAGAGGAAGAGGAGTGAGGAAAGAAACAGCTGATGCCTGACTTAGGAGCAGTTTCCAAAGAGGCCCCATGCTGCCCACCCACATAAAGAAACAAGGTGAAGAGTTGCCAAGCCAGGATGGAAAATGCATGGAGTGCGGAGAGAAGGGAAGCAAGGGACTCATGTTGTTCTTGACGTGTATAAGAAGCCATCAATCCCTCTAGGCCAATTGGTTATACTGTGAAAGGACTATGGGGGGCGGCTAGAGTGATGACTCAGAGGTTAAGAGCACTGACTGCTCTTCCAGAGGTCCGAGTTTAACTCCCAGCAACCACATGGTGGCTCACAACCATCCATAATGAGATCTAGAGCCCTCTTCTGGCCTGCAGGAATGCATACAGACAGAATACTGTATACATACTAAACAGATAAATCTTTTTAAACAGAATTATGGAAATTGCATGCCACATCTTCCAGACAAGACATCAAGGCCGGATGTGGTAGCACACACCTGCAATCCCAGCACGCAGGAGGCAAAGATGGGAGGATCACAAGTTTGAGGCCAGCCTGGATGAGGCAGGGAGTTCCGAACCACTGTACACTTGACATTCTGCTCTTTCTCCACCCACAGAAACAGCAGGCATGCAGAGAACAGAGACCATGCCAGACGCCTGGTTCTCCATGTAACACCCCAGTCCAGCTCTCCTCCCGGGCTCACACCTTTCCCTAAGTTTAACTGCAATACTCCCACCAAAGATGGCGGAGGAGCACTTTCTCCCCCATTTAACTGGCAGACAGACAGAATGGCCTACTTGAGAGTTCTTGGTCTCTGCTGCCCGCTGGGCTCCCAGGCTGTGAACTTCTCTAGAAGAGTATGCTAAGCCCTGACCTGGTCCTTTGTTGCATTACCATTCTTCATTTCCCGCCACCGAGTGTGGCTCTGATAAGTGCAAAAAGGGAGAAGTGTGTCATTTCACTGGCTGAAAGATACCAAACAAGCCAATGAGGAGATTACCTCCTCCCCAACCCCCGTATTTTTCTGACTCAGGGTTTTGTTTTGTTTTGGTTTGGTTTGGTTTTTGGTTTTTCAAGACAGGGTTTCTCTGTATTGTTTTGGAGGCTGTCCTGGAACTAGCTCTGTAGACCAGGCTGGCCTCGAACTCACAGAGATCCGCCTGCCTCTGCCTCCCGAGTGCTGGGATTAAAGGTGTGTGCCACCAACGCCCGATGTGACTCAGGGTTTTGATACTGAATTCCTAAAGGAGCTGCTGGGGAAAGCCAGGCCTGCCACAGGCTCCAGGTGGCTTAGAGTGTCAAAAGAGCAGGACATTATTATACTGGGAATGGGAACTTGAAGTTGGGGGCTCAGCAAAACCAGCAAGGATTTCAAAGAGTTCTTTGGAGACATTCAGGGGAGAGGAGTGAGGCATGCATGGGCAGCGAGGCACTCATGGGTCGGACAAAATCAATAATTGTTCTAGATGACATTTTCCGCTGTCAAGGGCAGTGTTCAGATCTCACTAGGTCAGCCGCACAAGACATGGGAGTACCTGCTGCATACACGGGGCTGGCTGAGCTCGCCAGACCTGACTGAGAGAGAGCTGGGGTAAGACCTCACAAATGTGTGAAGGGTGGGATTTCGTCCTGTGTGCTCGGCACGTTAAGAGTGTGCAGAAACGCTCCCCGGGTTGTTTGGGGGAGGACTGTTTTTAGCTGATAGGAGCAGCCTGCTTCTGCTGGTGGTGTTGATATGAAATCAAAAGCGTAAAAACCAAACATAGAACACCGCCCCCTGGGGGTCACCTTGTGTGTAGGAGCTGGAACAGCTAAGAAACAGGGGTTCCTGTTTTGCAAAGAGTTCTTTTTCTAAACAATACACCCGCCAGACAGTAACAGTTAAGGAACTTTTACAAGGTCACATGATACCGTGGGGAAATCTGCACTCCCTGGCTCTTCATTCTTCTCTGCCCCTGGAAGTGGGCTGGGGTCACTGGTTTTAGACTAGAGGTGGCATTATGCATTGTAACAACTCTATCACAGGTGGGAGGAGGCCTTCCCTGGAGCTCATTCCATGTCCCATTCTCCCCCCCCCAGCCACTCCCCTCATCTTGAGAACTGCAAAATTCAGTCCCTCAACCCTATCCATAAAAAAACTAAATGTAGCTGACTCTGGTGCCACTAGGATCCAAGAGCCTCTAGGTCAAGCCCACAGGATCCAAAATAACCATCATCTCAGAGATAGTGCCGGTGGCGCATGTGTATGATACCATGACTTAGAAGCGGTTCTGGCTGTTTCTACCTGCTGCCTCCCTGTCCCTGTCAAAACTCATCATGGGCAGAGAGCCCATTCCTCCTTGCAACACCGGAACAGCTTCTGGATTTATGCTTTTCCCAGATGAACCTACAAGTCAGTCGTAAACGGCATGGTCAGATCAGGGCAGCTGAGGCGACAGAGAAAACTGATCATGGTTTGCTTTCTGATTTCCCATGCTCTGGGAACTATGCCGTGTGTGTGTGTGTGTGTGTGTGTGTGTGTGTGTGTGTGTGTGTCTGTCTGTGTCTGTGTGTGTGTGTGTGTCTGTGTGTGTGTGTCTGTGTGTCTGTGTGTGTGTCTGTGTGTGTGTGTCTGTGTGTGTGTGTGTGTCTGTGTGTGTGTGTTAAGAGTTAAGGGAAGGGATGCTACAGGATTGATTATGACTTACTAAACTATTGGAACACTGACTGAATCATCACAGTCAAAAAATAAATAGCTGCAACTTGACGCGACACATCTCCCACTTCTTGCTGGTCCCTCTTTCCTCCCGCAGAGCGCCACAGTCGTAGGAGGAGCGGTTGGGCTGGGTCAAACCAGCAAGCACGGACTGACAGGCTAAATTAAAGCTAGGAGAGATTGTATGGCCCCTGGGTCCTCCAGTTGGGAGACCTGTCGAGCCCCGCGAAGCCCCTGCGGGCTGCAGGAACTGAAACCAGGGGCAGCACACACACACCTGCAGGCGCCTGCAGCGGGAGATCTGCTTGCTGTTTTCACCCCCTTTTCTCTCTGCCCTTTGCCGGGATTTCTAACCCGTGTCCTGTGCCTGGAACTGGTCCGTGGTAGGGCACAGCTTTGCAAACTTGAGAACACGACTTAAAAGTCCCTGAGCCAGTCTAGGTCACCCCAACCCTTGCACCAGCTGCCTGGAATTTGTTAGCTAAAACAGGACCTAGTTTCTGAAATCGGAAAAAAAAATCAGTGCGGGTCCTCACCGGGAGGAGTCGTAGGGACATTGACACCGCTTCACCCTCCACCAGCGATCAGGTCCGCTCTCCCCTCCTCCCTGGGCACCCTCGGCCACCCGCAGGATTCTCCTCTCGGTTCACCCGGTCCTGTAGGACCGGGTGGGCGGAGCGAAGCCGCTGTGACGTCACGAGCGGGGGCGTGGGGAAGTGTGCCCAGGGGCTGCCACCCGCCTGGGCCAATGCTAGCGGTGCAGCCACCGGCGCGCTCGCGAGGCCACCAGCGTCCGGAGCACCAGTCCGCTGCTGGGTGTCAATGATCTGCAGGCCAGGCTAGCCCTCTCGGGGCCCGGGTTAGCACTCTCAGATGCCAGAAGGGCCCGCACGAGCAAGCCAAGGAAGCTGAGAGCCCAGGAGCCAAGCTGCCGCACTCACCGGCGCCTGACTGGGTAAAAGCACAGCTTCTGGATGCCGGGGAACCCAGAGAACCGAGTGCTCGTGGAAGGCAAGGTGAGGGTGTGTGTGGTCACCCGTGTGTATGCTTATGTGTGTGGCACGGAGAGATGGAGGGGACGACGAGCGCACTTGGGCACCTGCGTGCTTATGCGCGGGGATAGAGCGCCGAGCCCAGCGACCTGCATGTTGGTCCCAGCGCGCAGTTCTCTTGTGCTTTTGTGCTTTTGGAGGTGACAGGTGGAAATGATGGGTGCGTATCCCGGCATCAGGGGGTGAAAAGGTAGTATGTTCCAGGATGGATTTGTCCGCACAGCCACTGCCCAGGTACTGTGGCGTGTGACCTGCGAGCCCGAGTGTCCAGGTGGTAGCTATCTGTGATGGGGACAACTTATTTCCTAGCCACCTGCGAAACAGCCCTGGTCCAAGGGAAGTGAGACCAGATAGAGGAGAAGGGACATGCCAGGTACTACCACAGGGCTCCTGAGTCCACACCCTGAGACCTAAGTTAGGGAGGGACAGGTGATGGGGACATCTCAGACAGCAGGACAGAGAAGGAAAGCGGGTTTTTCCGTTGTTGTTGGTTTTTTTTTTCCTTTCTTTCTCTCTTCACCCGATGGGGAGGCGGACCAGATTCGTATGCGGTTAGGTCCCTCCTACACCCCCGCTGCCCTCGGGCAGAGACATCTGTCTAGACTGGAGAGAACCAAGGACTGAATGGACAAGTCCCCCAAGCGACTATCTGCGCTCCCAGCTGTCTCTAGCAGTCCCCTCTGTGTATCTGGATGTGCAGGCACCCCGGTCCACTCTCCCTTCCTGGAAATGGTGGGAAATCTTTAGGGAACACTTTGTTTCCAGGGTCAGCGAGTTGATGGCCCCAAATATTCTCCCGCCCCCTCCGCACTAACTCTGCTGTCCTGAGGCTGGCTTATCCACCCCCAACCACTCGGCCAGCACAGTGATGAACCACACCAGGCTGCAGCCTATGTTGTTGCCGGCTGGGCTCGGTCTCCAGACCCAGATTCTTGTAGGGGGTGGATGGTGGGCGTCTAGCAGGCTTAGGAGAAGGGGGGGTCTTGAGGGCTCACAATAGAAGGATGTTGGGAAGTCTGTCAAACTAAAGCTGAGTGGGATCTCGCCCATCCCACCTCTGATTTCGTGGGCTATCGAGCATACGGAAACAAGAGAGGATTCCTGAGAGAGTGAAATCCCTTTTCTCCAACAGAGCCGGAACTTTCTCTCTCAGGGGGAAACCACCCACCAAGCCACGCCAGTGTTCTCCACAGCCCTGACACTGAAGACACAAAGCAGGAACTCAGACTTCCTGGTGCATTTAATTGAACCACAATTCAACAAGTATCGACTGGTGGCTTTAGAATCCTCTTTCGATAAGACCATGTAAAGTGAGAAGCAGTCTCTAGGAGATGTAAGGCGCCTGGCTCCCTAGGTTTTAAGCTCATATCTTCTTTGGAGGTGTCTCCCCTATCCCATTGGGGTTCCCCATTGTGAGCCCTCCACCCACCTTCCAAAGCTCAGAATCCCCTGTATGGCTTACCTTCCCAAAGTGGAGGTGTGTTTCAACCAATTCCAGAGAGAAGTGCCCCCTTCCCCCTGCGGGAATTCATTCTGTCCACAGGGCACAGTTAGAGCTGAAGAACCATATTGGGTCCACACCTCCTCTCCTCTCCTCTTCCTCCTCCTCCTTTCTTGGCTCTAGACAGGGATTCTATAGCCAGGGGGGTTCTTCAGCCTCAGTCAGACACTGAAGTTTGCCCTCTCAAGGCTCGTAGATGGCTCAAGCTGAGGGTACTATGAGGTCCCACTGCATGCAGCTTACATAGGATTCTGGGTCTGTAGAATTAAGTAACTGACAAGATGGGGAAGGGGAAATAACCAAGTTAATCTGGAGATATTAACCCAGTTTCTTTGCAGTTTCTGGTTGTAATAGATGCCTGCTTCTATGCTTGCTAACCCAATGCAGACACAGTGCAGTGGGTCCCCAAAATACAAATGCAGAATCCCAGACCTCACTGTGTCAAACGTGCTGGGGGAATTGATGCAGAAAGAAGGGCCAGGCACCTGGCAGTGCAGAATGAATCGGAGGCAGAGGCGGGCAGGGAGCACCTGCCTGTTGCTGGCTGCATCTTTCATTTCTCCGCAGTCTCTACCGGCCTTGGGCACTCCCTTGGAAAAGCACTCCACTCAGGGGCAAGTGTGTCAGGCAAATGAACTCGGTGCTGCATACTCCAGCCCTTCTTGGCCAGCTCCCCTCTTCCTGGATGGACCTCCTATCCTGAGCTCTCACCTCACTCTTCATATATACAAGACCCGGTTCCCAGATCCCTGAGAACACCCCCCCCCATATACACACCCAGGGAAGGGCTGTTCTAACACCCTTTGTCCATAGCCTCATCTCCATGCCGTTCACAAGCACTATGACTGGACTCCCTTGCCTGTCTCCCCCTATTGAAGCATTAGTTGCTAGAGGGCTCCATCACAGTGACTCCCCCTCCCCCCCCACAGGATGTTTTATAACTGTGGTAAATCACTTAATTATGGGTGGATCAACAGCATTCTCATTATTTTCTCAGCATGGAGGTCACTCAAGAGTCAGTTGCTTTAAACTAAGCCCAAGTGCCAGCCACTAGCTTCCATCCTCTGAGCGTCAGCCAGGACGAAGTGAAAATCACAGAAGACTTGGGGCCAGGTGGCTCATGTTCAGGTACCCACGCCACCGAGGATTTTTAACTCTCTAAGCCTCGGTTTCCACATCTTTCAGTGAGGAAGGACAGCATCCTCGACTCCCACATGGTTAGGGAGAAGAAGGGGACAGCGGGTGTGGATGACCGCCACCCATTTTTAAAGCCCCTTTTGATGTTCATGAAGAATGTGTATCCATCACCTAGATTCTGCTCTTGCCCTAATCTGTGAGCTGCAGCAAAAGGCTACCCATGGTGGTGGGGTGGGGTGGTGGGAGGGTGGGGGGGCAGGGGGAGTTAGGAAAGGGCTTTCCTAATTGGGGGTCGGATGGGGAGTGGAGGGCACTGAACACTGGAAAAACAAAAACCAAGAAGGAAAAACAGCCTAAAGCACACTTTTAAAAAGAGAAAGAAAGCCTGACTCTTTTAATATTGAAGACTATAACTTGATTCACTGTGTAGGCAGATTTCAATAAATGAGAGATAATGAAACATTTATGAGACTCTGATATGAGCCTGCACAATGCTAGGCATCTGCACATACCTTCATGACACCTCCCTGCCTGCCCGTCCCCCATGTTGACAAAGGAGAGTCCCAGCAATTAAGGGCTGGGCATGAGACCACGTGGAGCTGAACCATGGAGCCCAGATTTGTTCTTTCCTTTAAATTCTTGGATCTACCCACCATAGGGGTCTCTGAATGGAAACTCTCCCAAGCAGACATCAAGGCTGTATGGAATTCCTCATGGGGTTCAGAGTGCTGGAGCCAGAACCTTCCAGGGTCGGGGACTGAAACCCTCCAAGCTCTGCCTTTTTATAATTCTGGACCAGTCAGTTCCTTAGGGGTCAAAGTCTGTGTTTGAAGCCATAGCCATCGGCCACACGTGCGTCATCAAAGATGATGGTTTAACTCAAACCCTTCCCCCACCATTTCAAAAAGACCTCAAAAAGTCTTCAGGCTGGCAGCTAGATGAAAAAAAAGGAAACTTGCTTTTCAGTTGAAAAATACATCTAAGAGGGCAAGGCAGGGTAGCTCACATCTGTAACCCCAGTCACAGGAGGCTGAGGCAGGGGAGTGCTGTGAGTGCAAAGCCAGCCTCAGTTACCAGCTACATAGTGAGTTCCAGGCTAACCTGTCTCCAGAAAAAAGGTGGGGAGGGAAGGGAGGAGGGATACTGGGGAGATGACTCAGTCAATAAAGCACTTAACTTGCAAGCAAGAGAGCCTGAGTTCAACCCCAGGACCCATGGGAAAACTGCTGGGTGGGTGTGGTCACATGTCTGTAATCACAGCAGTGGTGGGACAGACACAGGTGGATCCCTGAAGCTCACTGAATAGCCTAGGCTACCTGGTGAGAAATCCTGACTCAAAAAAAAAAAGGGGGGGTGAGCCACTTCACCTACATAACAACAGCTGGGACTAGTTTCTAGGCTACACACACACACACACACACACACACACACACACACACACACACACACACGGGAAGGGGGGGAGATGGAGGGAGAGGGAGAAGGAAAGAGAGGTAGGAAAATGTCTAAATAAGAAGATAAATCAGAAACATGGAAATACAGGAGTCTAAATAGCGTGGGATTGGTGGTTACTTTCCTTTTTCTCTTCCCAGATGTCACCGTAGATTCTTGGCCCCACAGAGCCCACTGAGGTGAGAGGAAGAGCTCTGGACTGCTTGGTTCTAAACTGACTGAAAGGCAGACATGGAGATGGCATCTGAGCAATTCAATGGGAGCCAAATATGGATGCCCTCTCCATTTGACGTCAATGGCTCCCTGGGGCCGAGCAACGGCTCCAACCAGACAGAGCCATACTATGACATGACGAGCAACGCAGTCCTCACGTTCATCTACTTCGTGGTGTGCGTCGTCGGGCTGTGTGGCAACACCCTCGTCATTTATGTCATCCTCCGCTACGCCAAGATGAAAACCATCACCAACATTTACATCCTCAATCTGGCCATCGCAGACGAGCTCTTCATGCTGGGGCTGCCCTTCTTAGCCATGCAGGTGGCACTGGTTCACTGGCCTTTTGGCAAGGCCATCTGCAGGGTAGTCATGACCGTAGACGGCATCAATCAGTTCACCAGCATCTTCTGCTTGACCGTCATGAGTATCGACCGCTATCTGGCCGTGGTCCACCCTATCAAGTCAGCCAAGTGGAGGCGACCCCGGACGGCCAAGATGATCAATGTGGCTGTGTGGGGTGTCTCCCTGCTGGTCATTTTGCCCATCATGATATACGCTGGCCTCCGGAGCAACCAGTGGGGGAGGAGCAGCTGTACCATCAACTGGCCAGGTGAATCTGGGGCGTGGTACACAGGGTTCATTATCTATGCCTTCATTCTGGGCTTCCTGGTACCCCTCACCATCATTTGTCTCTGCTACCTGTTTATCATCATCAAGGTGAAGTCCTCTGGAATCCGAGTGGGATCGTCCAAGAGGAAAAAGTCGGAGAAGAAGGTCACCCGCATGGTGTCCATAGTGGTGGCTGTCTTCATCTTTTGCTGGCTGCCTTTCTACATCTTCAACGTCTCTTCTGTGTCCGTGGCCATCAGTCCCACCCCGGCCTTGAAAGGCATGTTTGACTTTGTGGTGATCCTCACCTACGCCAACAGCTGCGCCAACCCTATCCTATACGCCTTCTTATCTGACAACTTCAAGAAGAGCTTCCAGAATGTTCTCTGCTTGGTCAAGGTGAGTGGTACAGATGATGGGGAACGGAGCGACAGTAAGCAGGACAAATCCCGGCTGAATGAGACCACGGAGACCCAGAGGACCCTCCTCAACGGAGACCTCCAAACCAGTATCTGAGATACCCGGAAATACGACACGCTCACACGCACAAGCCAAGCCTGCCTCCTGGCAGCACGCTTCCCACTCACCTGCTTCCTGCCTCCCCACCCATCATAGCCGGCTTGTTCTACACGAGCCCAGTTCAGAGGACAGGATTTGAGTCTGCTTGTCTAAGAGTAGAGTCCACTGGTTACGTCTCCCTTAAAGTGAACATTTTCGTGCAGGCAGACAATTCAAAGTCTGGAGAAGAGGACATCATTGCCTGGGTGTGACCTTGAGGAAAGCCGCTGCCCAGGAGAAATCGGAAAGAAAGAAAAAAAAAAAAAACTAAACCCAAACGCTGTGTATGTGTGCTTATACACTTTGTAATCTTGTGATCTGGTATTTACATTTGTATATTCTTATAGTCTCTTCGGAGCCAGTACATATGTGTCCTGTGTTTATAGACAGAAGTAGCTAGTTTGTGTGTGTCTAGTATAGGTGAACATTTACTGCAACACTGAACCTGAAGAAATGGACTTGCCATGACAAAATCAAGTTTGAGCTTCCGGCATCTCTCTTACATGGGCCTTTCCCAGACCCAGGAGGCGTGTGAGCAGTGTGCACACACGACAGTATGTTTTTTGGGGGGAAAAAAGGTAAAAGGAAGGTATTTTTGTATTCTTCTTCCTAGAGGGCCCCTAAACTATATAAGCTTCTTAGCTCACAGGCGCTGCCCCTGAGCCTGGACAGCTGTTTCCTCAATTTCAGACGAGTTAGGTCAGAGTGAAATAGAGGGGAACAAACTGTGAGAGTCAGAATATAAACACCAGTTTGCCTCTCAGATACAATCGGTTACTCATTTACCCAAAAGGACTTCAAGGGTTGTGGTCATCGATCACTGTTTATCAAGACAAAACATGCTTTGTTATCAGATTGTATTTTTCTCTCCTCAAATTGCTTTAGTTTTACCTGGGGGGATATGGGGAAGGGGTGGGGTCAGTGGCCCGAAAGGCAAAAGACAGACTATGATTCTTATGAGTAAAAAATTTATTCCTCAACACACACACACAATGAGAAGAAGAAAAATGAAGTAGAATTTTACCTTTAAGAGAAACCATGAAATTGCTTTGTTTTTAGCCAGATAAGACTTTTGAATGACAGAAAACATCTTCTCAAAGGTGTTTTGGGGTTTTGTTGTTGTTTTGGGGGGAGGTTATTCTTCCTTCCTGTCTATGTACATGTGGTGTGTTTGTGTGTGTGCGTGCATGTGTATATGCGTGCGTGTGTGTGTGTGTGTGTGTGTGTGTGTGTGTGTGTGTGTGTAGGTTAGCAGATGACATTGCTGTCTCCTCCTACATCATGTTCTACTTTTTTTACTAGGCAGGGTCTCTTGCTGAAAGAGAAGCTTCCAGTGAAGGGAGTCAGCTTGCCTAGAGGATCCTGTCTCCACCCCTGGAGCACGTTATTACAGATGTGCTGCATGCCCAGCCAACCTTGACATGAGCTCTGGAATCCAGATTCAGGCCTCACACTGGGGCAGCAAGTGTGTTACCCGAATGAGCCATCTCCCCAGCTCTCAAAGGAGTCTTTATTATTAGTGGGAAGGGGCCATGCTTGCCAAGGCACATGTATGGGTGTGAGTGGACAACTCTGTGGCACCGGCTCTTGCCTTCCACCTTTCTGCGGGCTATGGGGACCAAACTCAGGTCACCAGGCTTGCCCAATAAGCACCTTTACCCACGAAGCCATCCCCCTAGCTCTCAAAGATGTTTTGTAGAGAATTTTACACAAAGCTGGGCATCATGAAAATCACAATACTCAAGACTCAGGAACAGTGTTTATGAAACTTTCAGTCAAGAGACAGCCAATGGAGTATACAGGTGTGTGTGTGTGTGTGTGTGTGTGTGTGTGTGTGTGTGTGTATGTGTGTGTGCAGGGCAAAGGCTGGGAGCCCATCCTTCACAGGAATGGCTGGATCACCTCCTGGATCAGCTGTGTGTGCATGGAATGTCATAAATGTAATGGCATGTCCTCTCCAAGCTATTCTTTCACACTACCAGTGGTATTTTTTCTCCAGCTGTCGATGGGTTTGTGTACAAATGACAAGAAAAGGTTTGGCCCTCATCCCCTTGGTCTATAGGATATGAAAATTACAAGTGCAGGTGTGTGGGAGGCACTGCACTCTGGGTCCTGGACACATCTCTCTTACTATGCCACGTGTAGGCCTCAACTGCATCGTAAAATGCGCTTTCTTCTTCTGACTCCCTAAGCAAGGACTCGTTAGTGGTCAGAATGGCTAACTACCCTACCTGTGGCTAGCCTGTCTTACTTAGTGGGCTGTATAAATTCTCAGGCTACGTCACTCATACCACCTGGCTCCGAAAAACTGCTGGCTATGGCTTAGGAAGACACATTCGGTGGGATTTACCATAGGCAAATAAACCCACCTGAAAAGAAAAGTGCAATCATAAAGTAAGACTACAGAGACCGTTGTTGCAAACAGAAAAACATACAGAAAAATCCCAGATTGTTACCAAAGGCAAAGTTAGCTACAGGTTCAGCTTTAGGCTGGTTTCTTGGCAGCCGTAACAGACAGTGAGTCACTGTTCCTTTTTCTTTTTAATACAACAAGGAAAAATTGGAAAGAAACAGTATAGATACACCTTTACCATTACAATTGGAAATATTTGTCTTGAATAAATAACCCTTTTTTTTCACTTAGGGAAATCTAAGAAACCCAGAACCAATGACAATCATTTCGGGAAGAGAGGTCAGAGTAACTCTATGGTGTTCATGCCCCCACAGCTTGAGAGATTGCCTCCCACAAGGCTTTGATCCCCAGGAGGCCACCAAGAACCTCCAGATGGAATGTCTAATCGGTATCTGGGGTACTAGGCAGCAGGACAGTCATTTGAAGGCAGGAAGAAGGGGACTGTAGCATACATGACAGGGCTGGCTGGGAGGTGGATCAGCCAGGAAAATGCTTGCCTCACAAGTTTGAGGACCTGAGTTCAATCCCCAGAACCCACATGAGAAGTCAAGTGCAGTGCTGTGTGTTTGCAATTCCAGCAATGGCAAGATGGGAGATGGAGAGGATAGGCCTCTGGAGGTGTGTTAAACCAGCTAGCCTGACCTACATGGTGAAGGCCAGGCCAGTGAGACCCTGTCTCAAATAAAAAATAGATGTGCCTAGGGATGGACACTCAAGGCTGTCCTTAGACACACACACACACACACACACACACACACACACACACACACACACCCTGGCAACCCATGTGTATTTGTATACATGAACATATATACACAACATACACATACACACCACATACTATACATATGTATACACAACATATATAACAAACATACTTGGCACACATAACATACACAAAACACACAACACACATACACACAACACATCACACACACACATACAAGATAGATGCTTAATCCCATACAGATAGGCAGTCAGGTTCCATGATATGGAAATTTATGTCTCACAGTTAAAGCACCTATGTTTATATTTTAATTAAAATTTAAAATATATTGTATTATTTTATATGTATGAGTGTTTTGTTTGCATGTATGTCTGTGTACCATGTGTATATCTGGTGCCTGTGGAAGCCAGACAAGGGTACTGGATTCCCTGGGAGTAGAGTTATAAATGGTTGGAACTATGTGAGTCCTAGGAATCAATCCTGGGTCCTCTTTTAAGAACAGCCAGTGATGATAACCCCTGAGTCATCTCTCTAGGCCCTGAAGCATCTTATTTTTAAAGATGACTTGTTCTTGCCAGGTGGTGGTGGCACACACTTTGAATCCCAGCACTTGGGAGGCAGTGAGTTTGAGGCCAGCTTGGTCTATAAAGGGAGTTCCAGGACAGCAAGGACTGTTACCCAGAGAAACCCTAGCTCAAAAAGCCAGAAGGAGGAGGAGAAGGAGAATGAGGAGGAAGAGGAAGAGGAAGAGAATGAGGAGGAAGAGGAGGAGGAGGAGGAAAAAGACTTGTTCTCTGGATTTCTTTTATCCAAGAGAGGAACAAAAAATATTAACACAATTTTGGCTCACAAAGTCACTCTTTTTTTTTTTTTTTTTTTTTTGGTTTTACGAGACAGGGTTTCTCTGTATTGTTTTGGAGGCTGTCTGTCCACACAAAGTCACTCTTAACTTCAATTCAACATCATGAAGATAAATTCTCTGGATGCTGGGGGTGGGGCAATAAAATACATTGGGGCCAGAAAGTCAGCTCAGCAGTTACAAGCACTTGCTACTCTTGCACAATACCCTTTTGGTTCCTAGGACCCACGCTCACAATCACCCGGGACTCCAGCTCCATGGATCTGATGCCCTCTTCTGGTTTCTGTGGACACCTGCACGTAGGCGCACATAAATGCACACACGTGAACATAATTTAAAGTAAAATAAACTTGTTTTTAATTAATGCGTCAGATAGACTTTGATCTCTGGTGGTCTAGTGGGTTTTGCCTCCTATTAGCAGGGGGTTGCTAAGGGCTGATTAAACCTACAGAGACTCAGAAGGAGACACGCTGGGCAACGCCACGACACTGAGGTGCTGAATGACCTTAGCTTCAGTATCAGACACCCGAGGAGGACAGCGGAGGGTGAGATGACAGGCGGAGGGGACAATGTGGACTGGTGGACAGAAGCCTGCTTGCTTGCTCTGACTGGACCGCTCCACGGCAGAGCACGAGGGCCGCCTGCTGAGGCTTTTGGCTCTGGTTTCTCTAGACGTGTTCAGCATAACCCCGGGGTGTGCGGGAAGACAATGGCAGCTGAGATCCACGCAGCTCCCCAAGCAGCTCCAATGGTGACCCTTTGGTGAAACTGAAGCTTTCTGCCTGGCTGAGGAAAGTGTGGCAGGAGGAGCCAAGCGGTGGGGGGGTGGAAAGCAATTAGGCTTTTTGAAGTGTGCACCCTCTCAGGAATAACAAGTACTGACAGGCCCAGCAGTTGAGCTTAGAAGTGATGACTTGAAATCAGTCACTCGTCCCATCCACATTCTTGCCAGCTTCCAAACACCGAATTCCCCAGCAAATGCTCCAGCAAAGCAATTCTTCACTTAGGGGTTGTTCTCCCTCTTGTGAATAAATTCCTGGGAACAGTCCCTCTCAGTCTCTCAGTCTCTCAGTCTCTCAGTCTCTCAGTCTCTCAGTCTCTCTCTCTCTCTCTCTTTCTCTCTCTCTCTCTCTCCCTTTTCCTCTCTCCCTCTCCCCTCTCTGTCTCTGTCTTTAGAGACAGGGTTTCTCTGTGTAAAGGCTCTGACTATCTTAGAACTCGATCTGTAGAGCAGGCTGGCCTTGAACTCACAGAGATCCACCTGCCTCTGCCTCCCGAGTGCTGGGATTAAAGGCATGCGCCACCACTACCCCCTTTGTTGTTTTTGTTTTGTTTTTCTTTTTCTAGCAGCTCATGTAGGGATGGAATTCTACTTACAGAGGACAATCTTTTGTAGCTGTCATTACCTATTCGATTCAGCAGTCACTGGGCAGAGAATACTATCTCAAAGACAAAGACTTCCCAGCAGCCATTCCAACGCCTGCCCACCCCTTCCTGCACTCAGAGGGGCTGAATGCTAGCTAGCATGTGAGCTGCTTCTGCTCCTACAGATGTCTCTGGCTGTTCGTATCTGGGCTATGTCTGAAAACAGGGCTAAATATTAACCAAGGCCTAGCCGAACCCACTGTAAAGTGTTATTGATTCTCCTAAGATAGAAGTGAATGTGATGTCATTAAAATGAAATGTTAGGGTTGGATAGCCTGGTCCAGTGAGTACCTGCCTCCTGTTGGGCAAAGAAGGGAAGCAGGGGAAGCCAAAGGCACAGGCTTGGCTCTCAGCGCACGGGTACAGAGCTGACAAGTGGCTAGGGGCAGGCTTCGTTTTGCATGTATCTCTCTGGGGAGTGGAAAGACCAGACTTCTTTGCTGGGATACTGCATTCAGTAGGGAGAGCTACTCCCTTCTGCTCCTCACGGCCATCCTGCTGCCACCAGAACCAGAGGCAGAAAAGGAATGTCCTGGTGTAGAGATACAACTGTCTGGCCTTTTCACGAAGCCTGCTAAGAGATGTGATACAAGGAGGCTGGAGAGATGGCTCAGAGGCCAAGAGCACTTGCTGCTCTCCCAGAGGGCCTGGGTTCCAAGCACGGTGGCTCAAACAGCCT